ACTTCATTCCCATACACAAAGGATTTTGAATTTGAATTGACATTCTCATACCAATGGCATATATATAGGCCTGTCCCTGGTTTCGACTCTACCAAATGCATCTGAGGAAGCAGACTTAAGTCTATGAAAGCTCATGCTTCCAATTTCTTTCTTTCAGTTAGTATCAAAGGTGCTACAAGAGCTCTCTACCATAATTTATGAAATCGTTCCCGTATGCCACGAACATGTGGATAACGAAAAATGAACCTATGTTATTGGGCCTGTTCAGTGACATGAAATTCTATCTAAACCCACATATATATACCCAGATATATGCATCTGAGGAAGCAGGTTTAAGTCTATGAAAGCTCATGCTACCAACTTTTTCCTTTCAGTTAGTCTCAAAGGTCCTACAAGATCTCTGTACCATAATTTGTGAATTATTCCCATATGCCACAAGCATGTGGATAAAGGAAAATGAACCTATGTCATTGGGCCTGCTCTCAGTGACATGCAATTGTTTTAGGCTTAAGTCTAGGAAAGCTCATGCTGCCAACCTTTCTTTCCCCACAAGCACCTGAAGAAATGGACTGAAGTCTACAAAAACTCATGCTGACAACTTCTTCATTTTTCCTTCCAGTTAAGTCTTAAAAGGTGCTGCAGAATCTATCTACAATTAATACTGATTATATACAGACTAACACGGCTCTATCTTTGAATTCGCTTTCTTTCAGTTAGTCTCAAAGAGTGAGCCCCAAACTATGCCCTTTAAGGGCTTTTGGACTCCAGCTCCCAGAATCCCAGACTATTGGCCAACATGACTGAGGCTTCTGGGAGCTGAAGTCCAAAAGCCCTTAAAGGGCACACACTGCTTCTACAGACTATCAAGGCGATATCCTTGAAGTATCCCTGAGAGGAGCCTGATTCCTATGAAGCCCCTTGTGGGACGGGACCTGGCCTCCTCTGAGGCGGTTGAGGCGGCTGCTTCTCCCGTATCTCCCTTCCTTCGGTCCCCGCAGCCGCCCAACCGCCTCCCTTCCCTTCAGTCCCTCTTCCTCTGCTTCCCTCAGAGACTGACCTGCCACTCTTTCTTTCTTTCTTTCTTTCCCGAGGGAGGGGCTACCCGCGAGGCCCAACGGTTCCCAGCCGCTCGCGACCCAGAAAGGGCGGGGGGGGGGAAAGAGAAGAGCGATTTATTGGCTGACCCGGATGTCACAACTCGTTCGTCACCCCCGCGATGCCTAGAGCGGCCAATAGGCATACTCATTTTCCCCTCCTCCCCATCCCCCCTCCCTCTTTTGTCATCGTTCTATCATGGCTTCGCCCGCAATTACGGAGAGCCTGAAGGGAAGAAACCGGAAATGCCAGAGAGACGGGCAACAGTCTCCTAGAGCGGCTCCTAAGCCTCTCGCCGCTGGTTCTGTTTTGCCCATAGAGATAGCAAGATAGACTGACAAATCACCTGCATTTCTGGTTTTTCAAATATTTTTATTTATTTATTGTACATTTTGTTTTATTTGAGAAACGAGGTACAGTCGGCCCTCCTTATCCATGGGTTCTTTATCCAAGGATTTCAAGCATCCACTGTTTGGAAATATTCCATATATATATATATATATATATATAT